TACAAATTACAAAAAGCCTGTTGACGCGACTCCACACATAGGAAATTTCATCCGGGTGCTGCGCAGGCCAAATACCAGAGAATTGGCGCTAGTTGGCGCCCAAAGAAAAGAAAACTGGCGCCAATTGGCGCCCAACAACAAAGAGGTGGCGCCGGTCCACACAATCGATTCCGACTTTTCGTATTCGAGGCAGCAAGTTGGCACAAACGTGCGCCAAACCGGCGCCAACTGGCGCCGGGTTGCGAGAAAATAACACCGTCTTTCCGCGGGGGTATTTTTGGAAGAAGGAAAAAAATAAGTTTATAAATAGGATCCTTGTGCTAGACCTAGATTATCTAATTCCATTCAGAGGACGCCGACGGCAGAGCTCAGGAGGATTCTTCAACAGTTTTCTTCTTCATCTTTTTCTCTGTAATTTTATGCTTTTATCGAATATTGAATTTTCAGCCATGATTATGCTTGGCTAGTTTTCTTTTATTGTAGTTAGGGTCACGAGCCCTATGTGAACCCTTGTTACGATGGATTGATTTAGTTTTATTCATTTATATAATTATCTTTGTCTCTACCTTGTGCGTATTTCCTATTCTCTTTATTAGAACTGATCAATCTGATAGTTGGGAATAGTTTGAGGGTTAGAACCCTAGATAGGAATATTGGGGTTTTGATCTTGAAAGGGGGTAGGACAATAATTGGTATGTATTTAATTGCGGATGCTTAAATTATTGCGTCCATTGCTTAATACCATGAGGAACATTGCAAGGAATTGGGTTTCCAATTGGGGATTAAAGGGTTAACCTTGCAAGGAATTGAGGGTTAACTAATAAATATTTTTAGATAATAATTTATCCGAGTAATTATATGAATAAATATTGTGAATCAATCCAAAGTAAGAAGTGGGAATCATAAGGTGAGTGCGCTCTAGCTACAATATTTTTCTCATATTTTTAAAATAAAATCTCATTGTTATTGTTTTATTTCTCTTAAATAAAAATATAAAAACAAGTCTTTATTTTTATTTCATATTGTTACTCGAATTCAATTCACAATTTTCCAAACAACAAACCGAGTTTTTCAACTTAAGGGGACTGGTTATTGTAGTACTTGGTTTACAATCCCTGTGGAGACGATACTCTCTTACTCATTATATTACTTGTGCGATCGGTATACTTGCCGGAGAGCATCACTATATGTGACATGAAAACGTAAAAGGAACTATAGGATCCATGTTTGGACTTGAACTCATCTTTCACACAAAAATTAGATCTAGGTTTTGGGTTTGGAGGTTGGTTCGGATTTTTGAGCACAAAATGGGAGTGTGGAGATGTAATCTCAATGTCCCACCAAGATTCAGCTTTCTGAAATGATGAGATGAAATATGTGTGATGTTTCGGATTAGAGAGGGTAAGAGAGAGAGATTTGGGGTTTCAAAAACCCTATACCTCGCAACAATGGCCGAAACCCATACATATTGGGGTTTCTGGACGCGATTTACCCGGGTACACTACTCCATACCCGGGTAAATAATTCAACCATTTTCCCAGATTCAAGAACTCTACCCGGGTACACCCCTACATACCCGGGTATATAAAAATTTTCAAAAAATACCCGGGTAGGTAAGGGTGTACCCGGGTAGGCTTCGTGGTCAACGGTCAAACAGGGGCAGATTGGTGTTATGTTTGTTGGGGAGAGTAAATTTTCGAAATAGTTTTAAATGAAAGACAATTTGGTAGTTAATTATTAATTAAGGGTCATAAGGGTCAAAAAGCCTAAAAAACTGACCTGTTATACTCAAATGTTGTTTCATTGCGTTCTGATAGATATAGTCAATCTCAAATTGTGCTTTCTTCTGACTTTTTTTAAGAATTTCGTTGACTTGTATTTCGATGGTATGCATTAACAAACCATTTTATAAAATCCTTAATTTACTACTATTTGTTTGAGAGTTTCGTTTCATGTAATGCTTACATTTATCGAATGATACAGTGCTCTGGTATGGGGTTCAACGTTCAAGTGTAAAAACAAGCCTCAGAGTCAGCAAGCTATATCCTCAAGTATAAACTAACTATTCTTTCTTTTTCCTTAATGCATTACAGTGACTCTTTCATAGGATTTTAATTGCTACCTCTGTGTATACCAAATGGTATCATTGATTTTGGATTTCCTAGCCAATGTTTTGCATATGCAGTATTAGAGTTATATACACTACTAGAAAAAACTTGTATAGTGACGGAATTGTTATAGAAATTCCATCGCTAATTTCATCGTCACTACTACTTTCCGTCACAAATTTCCTCGCAAAATAATTTGCGAGGGAATTAGTGACGAAAAGTAGTAGTGACGATGAAATTAGCGACAGAATTTCCATAACAATTTCGTCACTATACGAGTTTTTTCTAGTAGTGAGCCATATGTATATCTATACATTCTCGTGTCTCAAGATCATAATTACAGGCTTATACAGAAGTTTACCTTCAGTTCCAACATCTTTGTCGTTAGGAGTGATGAGGTCCAATCATTCAGCCTAAACCCAAAACTAAGCCCAAATGCAAACTTCAGAAGATATAGCCAGCTCAGCAGTAGTTAGTTCAGTTGTTAATAACTTATGCACGTGACTTTCTTCCCAGTTGTTGAGAACAGTTAGAACTAAGTTATACGGTTGTAACTGACAAGTAGTTAGCTTCTCTTTCCGTTTTCGTTCTGTTAGCTTAGCTTAGTCTTTGATCTGATGTATAAAGCCAAGTGTGGCTTCTGTATTCAGTAAGTTCATCATTTTAATCGAAGTAATTTTTCATGAGAAGGAGTTTTTGGCAAAAACATCTTGATCACCAACGGTTACCTCAGCTATTAGTAGCCACCTCGGCTGTTAATAATGACGGTTGTGTGATAGCATATGATTTTTTCGTAAACCTCTTGTCTTTTGATTATAGTTTTTTCTTTTTTTTTATATAAATATTATAACAATTAACGGATGATATCTTCTTTTTTTTTTTTTTTTTTTTGTAAATTATCTTCTTTTTTTTTTGGTAAGCGATGATATCTTCTTTTCAATCTTGTTCTATATTGCATCCATGCAGTTGATTTCTAATTTTAGAAAAAATAATGATGAATGTGGAAGTAGTGATTGGAAGTAATAGATGGAGATTTCTTTTACTGTTATATCAGTTTTAAATAGTTGGACTATTCACCATTCCGGAGAACTTTGTTATGGCGATTCTGGTGATGCTGGTGATGTTCTTTTGTTTATATACTTGCCGTGCTACTTTAATTTGAAAGGTACGTCATTATGATTATGCACTGCAACAGATTATTTGTAAAACGCCCCATTAAGTCCCGCATCGCTTATCGAACTAATTCCTATAACGAGGAACCCCATATGAGATACTGAGGAATAAGCTATTCTTTTTTTTAAATTTCGTTGACCAAGACGGTCACACCTATATAGCACCGACACGACACATGACACGACACGACACGACATTTCAACACGTCAATCCTAAAAAATTATGAATTTTGACACGTTGGGACACGTTTTAATATTAAATAATATTTTTAATTTATATAGTGTATATTTCATTTAATATTTAATAATTTAACAAAAAAATGAAACTAAATTAATAACACCCATTAACACATTATAAAGATGGAAGCTTTAATAAAAACAAATAAGAAATGAGATGAGAGAGAGATATAATATCATATAGAGAGATCAAATCATATTAGAGAGAGAGATCAGAGCCAAGGAGATACAACAAGAGCGTGATAGGATTTGACAACAATGATGCTGAGATGATCTCTTATCTACTTAAGGGGTAAAAAGACAAAAAAATAAAATTGATATGATCAGATGGAAGCTTTATTAATATATATATTTTAATTTTTTTTAAAAAAATTTTAAAAATTTTTTAAAAAAAATTACGAAAATGCTATTTGATCGTGTCCGACACGGTCAAATTCGCGTGTCGAAATGGTCAACGTGTCAGAAAAAGTTGACCGCGTGTCCGACACCGTGTCGGAGCGTGTCGCCGTGTCGGAGCGTGTCAGACACGACTCTCCCTGTTTTTACAAGTGTCTGTGCTTCATTGGATCACAGTGGCCTTCCATTGGTATAGGAGTAAGCATTTTCTTTTTGATATATTACTTTGTTTGCTATGTTGAGTTTTTGGTATTTAAAAAAAATAAAATAAAATAAAAATAAAAAAATAAAATGAAATAAAAAAAATATAGTTATGAAGTCATTATTGTAATTGCCTGATGAAGACATAATATTTCATGATGAAATCTTTATTATATGCATGCTCTCCCTTAATTTGATGTTATCCTTCATTACAGTTTGAAAGTTACATCAGTATGCAATGGCTCATAGCCTTTGGTACGGGAGTAAGTATTGTTTGTTTTTTCGTTGTGCTAATTCGTTTGAGTTTTTGCATTTGTAAGCTGGTACAAATTTTTGGAGCAAAGATTAACAAGGATCTTGATTGCCCAAAATCTTGATTTTATAGAAAAAGGGTGAAGTCAGGATGCTAATTGATGAAAAATATTGTTCTGTTCATCATGAGATTGTCCTTTATATAGATATTTAAAAAAAAAAAAAAAAAAAAGAATGAAGCACACAGGCCCAAACGTGCAACAAGAAGCCCAACCCACTTCAAAGATTATTTATTTAATTAAGTTCTATTTTATTAGGATAAGACTTTATTACAATTAGTAGGAAGATTATTTTTTTATCCTTCTGTTATTTAGTTTCCTAGATAATAGCTTTTATCTTTCAGTTATTTAAACTTCCAGTTAACAGTAATTTAGGATTGTTAGTTATTGAGTCCTTTACAAATTAGGATTGCTAGGTTATTTATTTCAAGAAAACGATCAATAAAAATCAGAGATTAATTTGGTCAATCTTCCTTTTCTTTTCTCTATTCTTTTCTATCCTCCCCTTTCCCAATACCTATCCTTTCATTGGTGCTTTCATTCGATCTCATTCTCCCATGGCAGAAAACACACGAATGCGTGACATGAATCAACGCATTGACACCTTGGAAAACCAACTCCAAGCGGCTGAAGTCGTGCGTGAACAGCAATACTTACAATTGCAGGAATCCCAAACAAAGATGCAAGAATCCCAAACTCAACAATTCAATATACTGCGTCAAGAATTAAACCGACTTGTGGAGTCACACATAGGCAACAACGGTTCTGGTGTTCTGGGTGCCGGTCCACACCGCACCCATACTGCCACTTCTGGCCAGCATCACCCACAACCCATGAAAATCACCTTTCCACGCTTCTCTGACGGAGACCCCACCGACTGGATATTTAGTGCCACACGCTATTTTGATTATTATCACATTCCAGATAATGAGAGGGTTTTATTAGCTTCTTTCAATTTGGACAAACTAGCCTCTTCCTGGTTTCATGGCCTTTTTAATGATGGGCTGCTCCCCAATTGGCCTGCCTTGTTTACGGCTATGCAACGCCGTTTTGGGCCATCAGAATTTGAGGACCCTGCGGTTTCTTTGGCTAACCTACGCCAACAGACCACCGTTAGCGATTTTCAAGCAAATTTTGAGATCATCGCTAGCCGCACTCCAGGTCTCTCCCCAACACTTAAAAGGGCGCTATTTATTGCAGGCCTTAAACCCCACATCAGGCGACCAGTCCTTGTACAACGACCACAGGATGTCCATTCTGCTTTTTCATTAGCCAAGATTTATGAAGACCAGCAAGCTGACACCCACAGTGGTCCCCGACAACAACGGCCATGGCTACCACGCCCATCCATTACCAACAATAACAACTCAAATACGTTTTCCCCCAACAAAAATACTACTTCATCTCCTTCCGTACCAATTAAACGCCTGACCGTAGAGGAAATTCAAAACAAACGTGACAAAGGACTTTGTTTTGGCTGTGATGAAAGGTATGTTTTCGGACACAAATGCAAAGGAAAAGCCACCTTGTTATATTTTGAAGGTACTGACGATGATAATGCCCAACCAATGGAGGAGGACACTCCAGTTATTCCGCCAGATGCAGACCCTCTCCCTAATTCTTTTTCCGAGATTAGTTTGAATGCTCTTTTTGGTCATTATTCACCTCGGTCTTTCCGTTTAACGGGATCAATACATGGCAAACAGGTCCAAATACTGGTTGATGGAGCTAGCACCCATAACTTTATTACTCATAAAATGGCCACTTACTTGGGACTTGTACTACAAACCGTTCCACCGTTTACGGTCCAAGTAGGCAATGGCGATGGGTTGACCTGCAAGGCTCTTTGTTGCGACATTCCGTTAATGCTGCAATCCCACAGATTTTTCTTGGATTTATATGTGTTGGACCTACAAGGCGCTGATATAGTTCTAGGAGTTCAATGGTTAGCCACATTGGGACCCATTCTTACGGATTATGGAAAATTGCTCATGAGTTTTGAGCACCATGGCAATACTATTCAACTACAAGGACAACGGCCAGATACTTCCCTGATGATTTCACCGGCAAAACTTAACAAGCTTATTGCTAGTAATGCCTACACTTCATGCCTGATGTGTTTTACCCAATCCGCCCACACTTCCACCATTACTACACCTTCACACACTGATCCCATCCCCCATACAGTCCATGAAATCCAACAATTATTGGCCAACTACTCTGATGTCTTCACCATTCCCACCACATTACCCCCCAACCGTTCCCATAATCATCATATTACTCTACTTCCCAATTCTAAAGCTGTCCAAGTTAGACCTTACCGTTACCCTCATTTCCGAAAGAATGAAATTGAAAAATTATGTCAGGAAATGCTTCAATCCGGTATTATTCGACCAAGTCAATCGCCATTTAGTTCTCCTGTTTTATTGGTCAAAAAGAAGGATGACACTTGACATTTTTGTGTGGACTATCGGGCTCTGAATGCCATCACTGTGCGTGATCAATTTCCTATACCCACAGTGGACGAATTACTAGACGAACTCCATGGAGCTACGATTTTCTCTAAACTGGACTTGCGATCTGGATACCACCAAATTCGCATGAACTCTGATGACATCCACAAAACAGCATTCCGTACACATCATGGACACTTTGAATTCTTGGTTTTACCATTCGGTTTGTCAAATGCACCTTCCACCTTCCAGGCTACGATGAATGAAGTATTTGCACCATACTTACGGCGTTTTGTCGTCATATTTTTTGATGATATTCTGATTTATAGTCCTAATTTGACAGAACATGTTCAACATTTACTTACAGTTTTGGAAACATTACGCTCACACTGCCTATATGCCAAAATTTCTAAATGCGCCTTTGCTACTAACTCTATACACTTTCTAGGGTACATTGTTTCTGGCGCAGACGTCGCACCTGACCCAGAAAAAATAAAGGCAGTTTCAGAATGGCCAACTCCTAAGACTATTACACAGGTACGCGCTTTTTTGGGTTTATCGGGATATTATAGACGCTTTATTAAAGGATATGCCAAAATTGTGTCACCAATTACGGACTTACTTACCAAAGATGAATTCAACTGGACACACGAGGCTCACACGACTTTTATAGATCTAAAGAAGCGTCTCACTGAAGCGCCCATTTTAATGCTGCCAAATTCCAGTAAACCATTTACAATTGAAACAGATGCGTCGGGTTCAGGTATTGGGGCAGTTTTACTACAAGATGACTGTACGATTGCTTATTTTAGTAAAAAATTATCTCCCCGTATGCAAAACCAATCCACATACATCAGAGAAATGTATGCAATTACCGCGGCAGTTAGCAAATGGAGACAATATCTTTTGGGATCCAGTTTTATCATACGAACTGATCACAAGAGTTTACACCATCTGATGTCTCAAGTGATCCAAACACCAGAACAGCAACAATTTCTGGCGAAATTACTAGGATACCAGTACACAATCACTTATAAATCTGGCATCACTAATGCTGTTGCTGATGGATTATCCAGGCAACTTCAAGGGGATAGTGAAACCCCAGTCGCACGATTAACATCATTATCCACACCCAGTTCTCACTATTTACCAGTATTACAGAAGGAATTACAAGCAGACACTTATGCAGCAAAATTAATGGGGGAAATACAATCATCCAAAGAAAAAAAGGGAAACTGGGATATTAAAAATGGACTACTACTACACCGTGGTCGTATCTTTCTGCCTGAACACTCTTCATTAATCCCAAGTCTGTTGAACGAGTTCCATTCAGCACCCATAGGTGGACATGCAGGAGTCAGGCGGACATTGTCTCGTTTATGCACATTTTACACATGGAAAACAGTCAGAAAAGATGTACAAGAATTTGTGAAATTTTGTGAAGTATGCCAAAGAGTGAAACCCATTAATCACTCACCTTATGGCTTGTTGCAGTCGATTGCACCTTCTACAGAAATTTGGTCCGAGCTAACAATGGACTTCATCACACATCTGCCACCAGTCCAAGGAATCTCTGTCATCCTCGTGGTCGTGGACCGTCTCACCAAAGGAGCACATTTTATTCCACTTCCAGACCGATATACTGCCTCCAAAGTTGCACAAGTCTTTTGGGATAATGTGGGTAAAATACATGGCACACCAAAGTCCATAATCACTGACCGTGACCCCATTTTTCTCAGCGCTTTTTGGAAATCTTTATTCCAACTCCAAGGCACACAACTTCGTTATAGTTCGGCGTACCACCCCCAATCCGACGGACAAACCGAAAGGGTCAATCGAACGTTAGAACAGTATCTCAGAGCCTATACGTTTGAAAAGCAGAGAGAATGGTTGAAATTTTTACCTTTGGCAGAGTATCACTACAATACTGCATACAATCGCAGCATAGGCACATCTCCGTTCGAAGCTACGTTTGGCGAACCTCCACCGTGTCCACTACGGTATTCGTTAGGAACATCACCACTGGAAGTCGTTGATTCAACACTGCACCATCGAGTTTCAGTTCTGCAAAATCTAAAGGAACACTTAAAAAAGGCACAACATGCAATGAAGACTCAAGCTGACAAGAAAAGATGTGAGTTTACCTTCAACATCGGAGATCTGGTCCTTCTATGTTTACAACCATACCGGCAACTTTCCCTGCGTGGCCGTTCATCACAGAAGTTAGCTCCCAAGTTCTATGGACCGTACAAAATACTAGAACAGATAGGAAAGGTGGAGTACCGACTAGAGTTACTACCGGACGCCAAACTCCATTCAGTCTTCCACATCTCCTTACTACGACCATTTTATCACCGTAAGGACAGACCCCCTCCACAATACCCAACCTCCATTGATACTGAAGACATCATCCATATTCCACACACTATACTTGCGACCCGCAATGTGTGGCGTCAAGGACGACCAATCACCCAGCTGCTTATCCAATGGACTAATCTTCCCCAAGAAGCTGCTACATGGGAAGATGAAAAAAGTTTAGAAAGATGGAATGAAGAGGGCAACAATTCAAAGGCTACTGAAGGCATGTTACCAACTGTCACAAGTAATACACGCTACACCAGCCCTACACACTGCTCAAGAGCCTCTGCTGTACCTCGTGAAGATACATTTCACGCGACCCAAGACACTCAAGAGTTGTTGCATGCTGACACGGACTCCGGTTCAACACACAAGGAGGCACCATACGACATTGTAATAACCACTGGTCACTCACATGGGTCAGCGCACACTGCACAAGACATTTCCAATGCCCAAGGTTCCCACGGACCACTCCATGGGGAATCCAATGCTCGGCAAGGTGATAAGGCATATCATCAACGCACCAATCCGAATCGTCTAAGCGGATTTCCAGCCAATGCCTGCTGGCCACGTCAGCTTCTTCAAGATAACCCCTGGGACCACCATGCCACTGGGCCGCAAACAGAGCAGGAGACTCAGCCCAAGTCTGTCTCCCACAATCAGCCCACAAGCGCTTCACCTATAATGGGCTGTGAGGACAAGGCCTGTTCTGATGAGGTGGGGAATGAAGCACACAGGCCCAAACGTGCAACAAGAAGCCGAGCCCACTTCAAAGATTATTTATTTAATTAAGTTCTATTTTATTAGGATAAGACTTTATTACAATTAGTAGGAAGATTATTCTTTTATCCTTCTATTATTTAGTTTCCTAGATAATAGCTTTTATCTTTCAGTTATTTAAACTTCCAGTTAACAGTAATTTAGGATTGTTAGTTATTGAGTCCTTTACAAATTAGGATTGCTAGGTTATTTATTTCAAGAAAACGATCAATAAAAATCAGAGATTAATTTGGTCAATCTTCCTTTTCTTTTCTCTATTCTTTTCTATCCTCCCCTTTAGCAATACCTATCCCTTCAAAGAAAGAAATGGAACCTAAGCTTTTAGTTGACAAATTGTATTATTATAAACGTATGACTAGAGTATTTACATTAAATACAGCCTGTATGTGAAGTTTTAACATGCTAAAGGTACAAAATATTTACTGCGCTTTAGATAAGTCAGATGTGAATCACGTGGAAGTGTCGGCTTATTAATTAATTTTAATAGCTTATTTTCTCCAATTTCTATAGCTGTACGACAACATGATTCTATAAAAATAAAGCCTTTTTTTGCGGGAAGTACTAAGGAAAGTCATTTTAAATGTTGCTATTGCACCTTTGTTTCAACCATTTCTATATCTTTTGTATTAGCATGGATTACCATAACATGTGAAAATGAACCTAGTTGTTGATATATGTTTGTGAAGCAGACTACAGCAATCCTCAACAATTATTGGCAATTATCAGTAATTGCTCTCATCATCAGCGTCTCAAATTAGGAAATGAGCACCTTGCTCAATATAAGTTGTATCTTGAATTCCTTTATTAAATTTTCTATTCTAACAATTGATTGCCATCTTCCTTGCAAGTTTGCAAGTTTTTCAGGGTGTATGTTGCGATTACGGTAAGTATACCGATCGTTTCAAGTAATAAAGTAGTGAGAAGAGTATCGTCCCACGAGGATTAAAGCACCAATTACTATCCTAACTATTTCCTTTAATTTGAACAATTCTATTTGGTTTGGAAAATAGATTTTGAATTAAAATAAAAGTAATTAAAATTTATTGCAGTAAAAATCAAGAACATTCAAAACACAAAGAATGATTATGAGAAAAGAAACTTTAATGACGAACTGTAGTCAATGTATACTTCACCTTTAATCCTCGTATATAAATCTGAATTAATTTCTATAATTACTTAACACAACAGTTCAAACAATTCATCTTCTTTAAATCAGTTAGTGAAACCCTAATGTCTTAGTGTATTTAACTCTTTAACTTAATTAGAACCCTAGTGTCCTAGTAATCCTTCTTGAATTAAGCATTAAGTTCGATGAATTATAAAGTTTGCAATTCATACAAGCCTATGTCTAAATCATGCACAAATTGTTATTTTATCCCTGTCAAGATTAAAACTCCAATATACCTATTGCGAGCTCTAACCCTCAAAATCTTATAAAATTGATCAGATCGCATAAGGCTATATAAAAATTATGGGAGGTAAAATAAAACTAATTGAATTAAAATAATAATAAAAATAATTCAGAATTCATAAAAGATTCACATCGGATCCATAACCTTAACTACAAAAGAAAATTAGCCAGACATATCTGACTTAAACACAATAAAGAAATAAAAAGTATTCATCAAGAAAAAGAAAAGAAGAAGAAGATGAAGAATCAGAGGTTTTCACAAAGGTCTTCAATCTTCAAGTTCTCTAAAATCCTCATCTCCAGCGTAAGCCTCCAAGAATTCTCTCAATTTCTTGATCTCTCTCTAAGTCTCCAGCCAAAGATGATCAATCAGGGTTTTCATCCCCTTTTTATAGCTTCATGTCAAATACATCCAAATCTTGTTCAAATCTTTGAGGTAGAATTCTCCTTA